AGCTTTATAGGAGAATGAGAGAAAGAGAAAGCCACTGATGAAAACAGAAGCTTTTATTAAATCCATGTAGAGTTTGCCAGACGGCCTGTGGGAGAGTCTGGAGCCAACTGGAAGGAGATTCTTTGGTTTTGATGAGACCAAAATTGGGCTGGAGTGGCCGAGTCGGAGTCCAGACCTCAGTCCTGCTGAGAAGTTGTGGCTGGACATAAACAGAGATATTCACTGTTTAACCTCACAGAGCTTTAAGTGTTTTGCAGAGAAGAACGGAGTAAATGCTTTGTTTCTGCTCTTCAGTTTGCACATTTTGTACAGTTAGTTTAGTTTTTTCTTTTTAATAGTATTTAACTTTTTAGCTCTTTCTTGTTGTGATTCTATTCTATTCTATTCTATTCTATTCTATTCTATTCTATTCTATTTTCTACTCTATTTTCTACTGTTTCTAACATTGCAGCCTGCAGATGTGCAAGGCTGACTGGGAGCTGTCCACTGCTGTGACTAAACATGCATCTGCTAAATACTGACTTGTGGGCGTGAATGCAGGCACTCGTTTAACTTTTTATATTTTTAAGTAATTGACATTCAAGAAAAAAAAAAGACTCTTCAATGTCAAAGTGAAACGACATGTCTTTATGTAGAAATGTCGTTTCACTTTGACATTGAAGAGTCTTTTTGTAAATTCTTGTCAACGAAAGTCAACAAAACATGAATTATTTTGACGGTGATTCTTAAAGAAAAGCATAAAGGGTGAAACCTTCCAGGGTGTCCAGTGCAGTGCTGTCTGCTGCCCGCCTGCAGGCTGCAGCCTCCTTGCTGGGACTGACCGTCAGGACATCAGCGGTGCAACTCTCAGACAGACCAGCAGACATGTCGGTGTTTTCTGTGGCTGACTTAGACCTTGGTGGCATGCAGACAAACAAGGTGCGGCCTTGGGGTGGGCTTGTTTCTAACCTGGTGTGTTTCTGCTTCAGACGGAGAGGGGAGGAGGGGGGAGACGGTAAACGTGTAGGGTGGGTGAGGCAGGGGGATGGAGAGGCCTGGAATGACGATGACAGCGGAGGCCAAGGTGACAGCGAGCTGTTTTTGGCCTCAGAGCTGTTGTCGAGCGTCGAGTCGGCTGAATCGCTCTGTGGGAGTCTCTCCTGCTCTGCTCGGCTGCTTTTGTTATATTTTCTGTCCTTCAGATCAAAATGCAGACAGAGTGAAGGCTGTGCAGGACATGTTGGTGCTTTGTGAGCAGCAGAATGTAACTCAGTACATTTACTCAAGTACTGTAAATAAATACAAACTGATGGTACTTTTCTTTCCATGTGGGAGGCTGATGCTGTACTTTTGATTCCTCTGACAGCTTTAGTCACTCTTTAAAAGACAGTTTTTCTTCTCAGTGAGATCTCCAGATGTGAGCTTGGATGTCTGTGATAAACTGAGGGATTAAGTGTTCCTTTGTTGGTTGAGAGAACCGTCCGACTCCGTGGGATAAATAAACTACTTAAAGCTCCTCCTGGATCAACTGTACGACGCACAGATGCTGCAAACAGTCAGCTGGTGAAAAGCTGGACTTTTTAGAAATGTGTGATTTTTGGAGGACAGTGACGGTGAAACGTGATCAGCTCATAGAAGTCGATGCACAGCTGGAGATGAAACTATCCATCAGCACGTGAAGCAGTGAAAAGCCTTAAAGAGCAGCAGTAAAATAAAACACGCACACTCACGCAGCTGGGAGATTTAACTTTTTAGGCCTTTATTGTTTAGGACAGTGAAGAGAGAGACAGGAAAGTGGGGGAGCAGAATGGGGGACGGACCTGCAGCAAAGGGCCCTGAGCGGGATTCGAACCCACGGCTGCTGCATTGGGGACTACAGGCCCTGAACATGGGTCGCCAGCTCAACCGTACAGAATAGCTAAACCCTGACAGGGACCATTTTCCTGCACAATGATCACGTTTACATGATAGTTTAGGTCAGGTTTGCTGATAATAGGGCCCCCCTACAGCTCACCTGGTAGAGCGGGCGGCCCATGAACAGGGGCTGTAGTTCCCCGATGCAGTGGTCGTGAGTTCCAATCCCGCTTACGACCCTTTGCTGCAGGTCTGTCCCCATTCTTCTCCCCCCTTTTCTGTCTCCCTCTACTGCACTAAATAAAGGCAAAAGCCAAAAAAATATATTAAAAAAAAAAAAAAACAAAAAAAAAAGGTTTGCTGATAATACCAAGATACTAAGTCAAGTGTTTGACTGCAGCGTCGGTGTTTTACTTCACTTAGTGTCCATGTGTCTGATGTGCATCTGGGCAGAAGGCTGGTTTGGCTGTAAACATGTTTGGACTCACATGTGGCACTGAAAGGACGATGAACGTGGTTTAACCAGATTCAGGCCCCCATTTCTTCCTGAGATGATGGGAAGATGTTTTCCTGACTCACGATCCTTCTTTCTGCTTCTCTGAGTGCAGCTGTCAAGTGCCAGCATGCTCTTACTTAACAGGTACAGAACTGCCAGGAATTAATTTGTGGCTCGGTGTCAGTTTTGCTCTTCGGTTTTGCGTGCTTGTTGATGCCGTACGGGCTGAAGCCGCAGAAATTCTTCAGAGTTTATAAGCCGTGGGAACTGCAGCGCTGCATGTGGTGGCAAACCGTCTCTGAAGGATGTCCACTGTGAGCAGAGAACTCTGGAGCTGCTTCTGGCACTGATGAGCAGAGATACTAATGATGACAACCAGAGGATAAACACACGTCCACTGGTTGATTGCATCCATTTGCACTCTTTCCCTCACAGTGAAACTCCTCCATATCTTGGTGTCCTGTCGGGTTCGGCCTTTCCTCGGCGGAGTCTGGTGCAGCTTCATACCAGTGGGAGCAGGAGGCAGCGGCTGCATGTGCCACGTGGTTGTGATTTACTGCTTCTGGACACCGTTTGCAAGCCAAAGCAAGCTTCTTTCCAAAAAGCTGAACTGAGCTGCACTGTGATAAACAATTACACAACCACCTCAACGGTCTGTGCGCGCTGTGTTGTCGATGTGGCCAATGAACTGGAACCTAAACTTTTATCTCTTCTTGCTGCTGATTTGAAAGATTTGCCATCATCCGCCGTGTGGCAGGTGTAACTCCTGACCTGTGTATAAAATAAACCCGTTTTCTGTCAGCAGGTCAACTCATAGCTCTGTGCAAAGTAGGTCAAAGTAAAAATATAAGCTCAATAATGTACAGTTTACATACGGCAGCCAATGAGCCTCATGGCAGCACAGAACTCACACTGACCTGCTTTCCTGTTCAAACAGCTCCTTCATGAACCTTCAGCTGGAATTCAGCCAAATACCTTCATGCTAAAAACAACAGGGTCACATGAGCGACTTTTAATATATAGACGTCCCCGTGGAGGGATTCCCAACTGTCCTGCAGGGTGCTGATTTACAGGCTCTGGTATTTCCCCACAAACATTTATCCATGCAGGCCTTTATGGGCCTAAAGTGTGTGATAGTCAGCATTAACATCCCAGGACCACAAGCACTCATGAACTGATTTGACTTTATTTACTGCAGGAAAAAAAGTAGATTTGGGAGACATAAAACATTAAAAAAAAAGAAATATAGTGGAAAGAACTGAAAGAACTCCTGACCAGAGCCATGTTAGTACAGCCAGTACCGTCTTCTGCTCTCAATGTTCAAGATTTATCATAAAATGCAGAAAAAAATCTCGTAAACTGGCACATAAACCGTGTTTGGATCCAGTTTAGGACCAACACTTTGAAATAATAATGGTTTCTGTTATTGATTTATCCAACAGAGGAGAGCTGCTGTAGAGAAGAAAACGTCTGAGTTTAGGAACAGCAGCTGTTTCTGAATATGAGAAGAAAATGTGTGTTTGACTCCACAGGCTGCAGGTTAAAACAGTACCGCATATGACAGACATGATTAAAGTTTAAACTGTAAATGTGTTTTCACATCCAAAATACAAAAGCTGAAGGATTTCTGAGGGACTACATGTAAACTTATTGCTGTGGAACATGTTTGTATGATGCAGGGACGGTGAAGTGGCTTTAAGCTACTCATTTAAAAAGAAAAAGCTCATTTTGGAGGCTTTACAACAGCGAAGCTGTGACTCACTGGAGTGATTTAAATGTACCCAGACTGATGCTGCCCTCTGCTGGACAGGATGCAAACTTCACAACCAGGTAACAGAGTCTTTCCTGAATGCAGAACAAGATGTCAGGTGAACATGTGGAAATTAAGCTGCAAGAATATAAAGAGACGTAACTCTCTTCAGCATTGTCTGTCACTAACTTGTGCTTCTGACCTGCCTACTTAGTAAAGAGTCTTGAAAAGCACTATTTAAGTATTATTATTGATATTTGATCATTTAAAAATGATCTCAGTGGGCAGAAGCTAATGAGGGAACTACTCGTCTTTACAAATTTAATATTCTATAAAAGGAACATTTTTTACTGTGATTATCATTGTGCAGGAATCCTAAACGTTTATCGTATAATACATTCATTAAACAATTAAATTAATACATTCTTTATTCAACAATTTCCCTGAGGTTTGCACCGAAGGGATCAACAAAGTTTTATTCTATCCTATTACAGCCCCAGGATGAAACGGGTGGTTTTTAGAGTTATGCATCTACTTACATTAAAAAGTCGCTAATGAAGATAATTGAAGGTTCTTTATTTTGAACCACTGATAAGTTGGTCAAATGTTCATTATATTCTTTGATTTTTAATTCACACAGCTGCTCAGACACGCTGCTTCTTCACCTCCACCATCAACAACCAGGAACCAGACAGATCCCTGGTGCCGTTGTTCAGGCTGAAGAAATGTTGGGTCATGGTTTTGGTGACGGGGACAAACACTGTTCAGTAAACACAGGACTTCCAAACTCATCTCAATACCCAAATTTATTTCAAAACATCTGAACAAGCAAGATGGAGTCCACTGCAGATGAAACTGACGACATGGCGTTGGACTGGCACCTCAGCTTCAGCGGGCCCTACAGGACAAGAGAGAGGTCCAGTTAAAAAACAACTAGATTCAACTCAACGTGCAAAAACACAAGAGTCAGTTGATGGCTGCTTGGACCTGGATCAGGTGAGTGAACACCCATATTTCTGATGACTAACCCTGAAAAGCACAGCGCTAACCCCACATAAGAACATCTGCAGCTAATTTCACTCAAACTGCGAGTCAGCGGTGCTCAGCTTCTGCTGAATGTAAAAACTAGTTTGGCTTCTGTTAATAAGAACCAGCACCAGGAACGGGTAAAAGGAGCTCCACTGGTGCTGCAGCCTTTAATATTTCAAAAAATTAAGTCACTGACTGTTGATGCTCTGACTATCTATCGAGTTAAAATTCACATCCGCTGTGTGCAACTGTATCATGACACACAACCCCTGTAAACCACACAGTACAGCTCAGAGACCCTGAAACAGTCGTCTCTCTGTGAAGCTCTGGTTCATGCAGACACGTCCTGAGCTCCTGACTCAGCTCTACGGCAGGTTTGTTGTATTGCTGTGTGTTGTAAGCTGTTATGTTTTGTCCACAACCATCTACTAACACTGGAAGAGAGAATATCCTGTTTTATGTAAAACATCCCCACACATGCACTTTAACACCAAACTTATCCTAATGTTTACAGCAGGACTGTACCATTAGACTTTATGTTTCTAGTCATGAGGTATCGACCATTTCATCTAGTTTCCAGGTGGTTTAAAAACCCTGCAGCTCGGCTTCACCCATTCAGCTTCAAGAGGAGGCTTCAGTCCACCTCCAGCACCAGAGGTTCAGTGTGCTCACCTATCGCAGCCTCCTGGCTTCTCTCTCAGACTCCAGAAGTGTCAGCACATCTCCTTCTCTGACTGGGCCTTTCACGTTCCTGATGATGGAGCGGTTGCTGTCGTCCATGAACTCAACACGGACCTGGAGGAGCACAGAGAGGCACACACTGATCACACGACATGATCCGACACTAGTTTGTGTTTCAGTGACTTCTGCTGGTTCACAGGAAGAAACACGACACTACAGCCCACTGATGTTTACACGACTCGGTCACAACTTAACGGCAGTCATGAGGAACTGTGGCCTTTATTAGACTTCATAGCGTTCTGTGTCAACATGCTGAGCATCTACATGCTCAGGTGGCAGCAACCTGTACCATCACTTGTCAACTATAAATATGAGAAGCTCTCAGATTCTGGTGTTGTGCCAAAAAGTGTAAATATGCCGACAGCTTGTTAAACTGCACAGCCCAGTTTATTTATGTCTTAAGCTGCTTTTATATAAATAAATCATAACATGCAAATAGAGCTTCATGTCTGCGGCAATAGAAAGCGTTTCAGTGAAAACGTTTCACGAAACTCAAAACTTGCAACCATAGAAGTGTTTATGATGTTAATGCTGTGGTGAGCGTGCTGTGTGTGTAATATCCTTTAGACTGTAAATCATGTGATGAATTTTAGATATAAAATCAAACAATCTTATGGACTTGACCCTTGAAAATAGAACCCTATGAATTAAAAGCTTTCATTTTGATGCATTAATACCACTTTAGCATCAACATAGGAGCTAAAATCACTTTTTTGTCGAGTGGAAAACTGCCTTAAATGAGTCCAACTGGTTCTTTAAAGCCATTTGAGCCCCTAAAACCACTGGATCGGTTAGAATCCAGGATACAGAGGGGGTAAAGTGATGCAGACACATGAATGTAATTAATTCTGAGGTTGTCCAACACAGACTTCAATCATGTTGATCCCATTTATCTATTATAGACAAACCTTAGATTATTGAAAGGTTGAGATTTACCAATAATTTAAATAACGATGTGATGTCCTGTTTAACTGATGCATTTTCTTTACAGGAGAAAACCTTGAACCCATCAGTTGAATGAGACATGACTACAGATTCAGAATGTGCCACATGCTCACACTGCATGGACGGTGACATGCAGCCTGACTGTACAACAAGAAAGCAGGATTTAAACAAACAAACATACAATAACTTACCGAAAACAGAAGGAGGGGAATAAAAAAGCTTTCACTCATGAAGAGATAAGAGACTGAAGTTCAGAATATCTACATACCTTAAAGACTAAATTCTATTAAAGATATTTACGGCCAACCTATTTTCTGTTTACATCAGAAGTATTCAGTGAACTCAATAAATAGATAAAACAGACAAACAGATCCCCCAGCTCAGTAACTGACTGTACTTCCACACGTTAGCCGTGTTAGCATACCTGTGTACATTGTCCCTGGGAACCGGTCCTTCCGAGAACCTTGGTGACCTGAGAAGAAAACAGCGCACACATTAACACCACAGCCTCAGAGTGAGTGTTTTATATTTGTTAGTGAAAACAGACCACACAGAGCAGTTAGCACCAGGCTAACAGCTAGGCGAGACGTTAGCATGAACGGGCCTCCATGATGGAAGCACGAGAGCCGGACAGCCGTTCGCTAATCGGCGCGAAATAACAAATTTAGCTTCAACGTTTGGGTCCCGTTAGAAACACGAGTTACTCTTGCAGCGGTCTGTCCGCTCGAATGACACTATTTTCACCGTAAAAAACGGTTTCTTACTCTTGCGAGCTTGATCGGCTGCACGCGGCTGGCGTCCATGTTGTCAGGTTAGACCGGAAAGGAAGTCACGTGGTGCCCGGAAAGCTTTTATGGAAACCGAAATCTTTTAGCGTTGTACAATTTAGCATTTTTAGAATTTAATTTAAATAAAATGATGAAGAACTGAGTAGAAATTCGAATAAATAAACAACACATTCAAAAATTAATTAAAAATTGTAAAATAATTTTACATTACTACTTCCCTTTCCGCCGATTGGGAAGTACCATTCACAGAAATTCGGGGGGTAAATCTGGACCAAACCATTATTCATTGTAATTTTATCATGTGCAGTAACTGAGACAGTCGCGTTTGTACCAGGTCCTATCCACTGCAACGAATATAAATGCTAAAAATGAATATGATGCAACAAAATAAAACACAAAATAACATAAAAAGAAAAAGAAAGCATGCTCACAGGAAGTCCAATGAATCCTTGAATTTGTTAGGTTTTCATGTACATGTCTGTAGAGTTGTAACTTTATCTCTAAACTAGTCAGATAAATCTCCAACACCAGGAGTCTTAGTGTTGTCATTCAGATAGAGTTGTATTAATATATATTTATATATAACAGGGTTCTAATCCTTAATTTTAAATTAATCAGATAAATTCACACTATGAATTTACTTAACCTCAGCAGTTAAACTTGTTAAGTTAATTTGCGACACCAGCTGTATTTCAGTACCAGAAAGCAAGTTGGCTCAACAAGTGTGGTTTTAAATGTGCTTTATAAATACTAGTGACTTGACATTTCTCCTGTGTTTCTTATTCACCTTATAGTTCCAAAACGTACCTTTATTCATTTTATTATGATTAGACTTGACTTTATTATGAAGTGGACAGAATATTTATGGTATTGCATTAAAGTAAAGAAATCAATGTTAGGGGCTTTGTTCAGAGGAAGCAATAGGAGATGATGCAGTTACATTTATTCAGAATACAGGGAAAACAGACAAAACCAGATATTAATGTTTGTGTATTTAAATTATAAATCCACGTCTATTTCACACAGTTGAACAAACTTTTAAAAGAACTGCAGGTAGCTTGTGTAATCTGTGTTCATTTATATGAACATGATGAGTGAAAGCCCTTCACAGCCTTGTTAGCAGCGCAACACTGTCATCACACCACTCTCTCCGCCTTTCCGCCTCTCTCTGAACTCAAAGCCTTAAATCACAACACTAATCCTTGTGAACAGTATTTTTAACTTGCGTTGGGACAGAAAGAACAGCAATAGGATTAAAGAATCAGTGAAGAGGCTGAATCCCTAACTCATGCAGTTGATCTTCTTGCACGCCGACTGAAAAGCACGGTAGCTCTTTCGTTAGCTTCACTTCCAACAATTTTTTTTATTTTTGAGAGAAGAGTGTTTTGCACAAATGGAGATCTTGTGGAATATTCCTGTTTCTGGTTGTCATTGACTTTATTCAGGATTGGCACAACGCGTTTCTGTTGGTTTGTCCTCTAAGGAGCTGTCACAATGGATAATATAAAGCCCAGATTGAAAGTGCTGAAGAAGCGTCGCTCCAGTCTTTTTGCTACCATAAAGCGGGAAATCAGCTTTTCACAAAGCGGCGAAGAACAGGAGCAAGAATTTCCTTTTTCACAGGACAGCTCAGTGAGAGCATGGACTTCTATGGACAACCTCGACGCTACTTTTGAGAAAAGCACAAAGAAAAAAGATAAGAAAAAAGGTGCATCAAATCCAAGGAAATCCAACATAGTCAACCTCAATGTGGGTGGAAAGGTGTTTCACATCCCCAAGCACTTGGTCCTCCGATACCCAAAGACCAGGATCGGAGTCCTTGCCCTTTGTGATGATCCAGTTAAGCGTCTGACGCTCTGTGACGATTACAACGTCCAGAACAACGAGTTCTTCTTTGACAGGGACCCCATGTTTTTCCATTACATTTTCCACTTCTACTGCAGTAACGTCCTGTGGGTGATGGACAGTCTCTGTCCTGTCAACTTTGAGGAGGAAATGTCATTCTGGGGGCTGAAGCTGAAGGACACTCCAAGGTGCGCTGTAGATACTTGATAGTCTGTGTTGGCTTTTGCTCTTTGTGTATTTCAAGCTGATTCTGAAAAGCAGCTCTTGTATAAATTGGTAGTGAAACTCTTCTTGTCCTTCTTAGGTGTTGCCGCATTCTGTTTGAGGAAAAGGTGGACGACATCCGGGACCAACTGAAGGTTAACCAGGAGCTAATTGATGAGATTAAGCCTCATCAGGATGACGAGGGCTACAAGACCATGTTTCTTGGAACCTTTCGGAAGGCCCTCTGGGACTTGATGGAGAATCCTTATTCGTCACTCTCAGCCAAAGCCTTTGCCGTGTTCTCCAGTCTTTTTGTGCTCATCTCTATTGTTGCCATGACATTAAATACCGTCAAAGAACTTAGGCAGTACAAACTCGGAGGTAAAACCTACATGGAGTGGATAGAGGTAGCCTCCATTCTCTTCTTCACTTTGGAGTACTTTCTGCGGTTACTCACCACGTCCGACATCAAGCATTTTGTGAAGAGTGCTCTCAACTTTGTTGACGTGGTGGCCGTTATGCCCTACTTCATCCAGATCCTTTTTGAGACGTTTGTTGTAGATTCAGAGGACATCAGCGCACAAGAAGATCTAAAGACGATGGCAAGAGTCAGTAAAGTCAGCAAGGTGCTCAAAGTTGTCAAGCTGATGCGCATCTTCCGGATCCTCAAGCTCGCTCGTCACTCCACAGGCATGAGGGCGTTCGGTTTCACCATCCGCCAGTGCTCCGAGCAGGTATGGAGGAGAGTCACAGAAACACAAAACGCCCCAACTTCCTTTTAGGGGAACAAATCACACTAGATTAGCGCATAGAAAAAATTTCATCGCTGTGAGATGAAAGGTAAAGCCAAACATTCTTAAAGCTTTCCATAGCGTTCCACTGTCATATCTGTCAAAGTAAAAATAGCATTGTTAGCTTAGCTTAGCTTAGCTTAGCTTAGCTTAGCATGAGGTACAAAACAATCGACTTGCAGTTCTAAAGTTCACTTATCAACATTTCTTATTTATTGAATCCGTGCAAAAACCAAAGTATCAGAATGTCAGTTTCAGTCACTTCATGTGCCGAACGTCTGGGTGCAGCAACTCGTCCTCAGATCTGCTGCTGGTTTCACACCCTCATGTTCTTCCCATGGATTGACTCATGATAAAGCCTAAAGTTGTCTTGTGACCTGATGGTGGTCCTGAAGTGATGCAGACTTCTTCCTCTGCTGTCATGCTTCAGGTGTGCTGCCTGTTCCTGTTCATCGCGATGGGCATCTTCACTTTCTCGGCCCTGATGCACTCTGTGGAGGTGGATCAGCCTGGGACCCCTTTCAGCAGCATCCCGGACGCCTGGTGGTGGGCTGCGGTGAGTGGAGGACCGACTCCAGCATCCTGTCCTGTAGAGTTTGTGGGTCTGACTTTTGCTTCCATGAGGTTTAATGCAAAAGAGCCAGAATCGGACAAAACCTGGTGTTTGAACTTGAGCGAATTCAAACTCTGTTAAACCCGACCTGCTTTCTAAGAATTATTCCTTGACTTTGATTGGAAATGTCATAAATAGGCTCAGGCAAAGGTCATAAATTATAGCACAATATATTTGTGGAGTCCATTATGAAGTCTAGCCAAAATGCTGATTAAACCCAATTTAACGGGGCTTCTGAGTTGCCCCACATCTTTTCATTATTAATGGGGTAATTAATGTTTTACAGAATGTAGAGGATGCAGTCAGCTCTTACGGCTGCCGCTCACATTCTTCCGGATCAATTAACGCGGTTCTGAACCTCGGCAAGCTGCTCTTCTTCACGCTGCTGAAGAGAAGCTCGGTCGGGGTTGTGTCAGTTGATCGAGCGGTGGGCGTCTAGGATTAGACCTTTCAGGACTTTTTTTTTTGCTGCCTGGCGAGTCAGAAAGGTGCACGATGCAAAGCAGAGGCACGTTTTTTGTGTGTTTTCGGAGCAACAAACTCATGATTGGGATCGTACTCAGGGGCTCTTATCCAGTCTTGTTGTTTTTATTTGTTTTCCTTTTACTGTACAGTACACAACAAATATAACAACAGCATTAGAACCCTCAACCACCCCCCAGAAAGAGTGTACACATACATACATATACATATCCTTCCCACTGTTGCAGACTGCTTGCGGACTGCTGAAGCTTATAGAGAATCCAAATGTTTTGGATTGTTGGGTGTTTCTGCCTTTGTTAAGCGCTATGAGGTGACTTGTTGTTGTAAATATGTGCTAGACAAATAAAATTGAATTGAACTGAATATGCATATATACATACAGAAATATGTGTACATCATAAAACAAAACAAAAGGGCAGTGTCACCTAGAGCCCATGTATGCAGCGATGTAGACCCACATCAGACCTGTTAAGCTCGTTACAGATTCTTTCCCAGTAATGCAGTAAGAATTACAGGTACAAGTGCAGTTATCATACATCCAAACCACGCATACAAACTGTTAGACATGATGATTAAAGAAAGATAATCAAATCAGAAGTTCTTCCACTGAGTCTGCTGCACTTCCGTCAGACGGTCTTGTTAAATGAATGAGTGGCTGGATGGAGTTAATTTCTCAAGTCACAATGACTCGTTTACAGCTGAGGGACTGTTGTATGTGATTCTGTGGCATTGCTCTACACACAGATCCTGTTCATGGTGTGTGTAGATGTGAAGAACTGGCTGGTGAAGGCCACCGTGCTGTAATGTAATCACAGTTAAAATCCCACTGGCTGGTATTTACCTACTCAGTCACTCATCCTCTGGACTACAACAGAAACTTCTTGCTGTGAGTGACATTTGTAAAAAGAAAAAAGAAAAATCCCTTTTCATGAAGCCCTGAGGACGTCATTGCTCCACGGCTTTGTCCAGATGCTTCCACTGCATCCAGTCCGGACACGGTTACGGCACACATTTTACTTCTTTTTCTTTAATATGCTTCTCTTCATGTACAAATCCAACAAGCAAGCAAGTTTATTTACATCATATATTATCAGACACAGAGATTGTACAAAGGGCTTTACAGGCGGAGCTAAAAAATGAAATAAAATATAACACCGATACAGACAAGCTGAATAAAGTGCTCACTGATATATAGAATAATAAAAACTGAGAGACTAAAACAAGAAAAAAGGCAAGAGATGAGAAAAATAAATGACAAAAATGAATTAAAATGACGTGAACACAAGTTATTTTTAATTTATTTTTGACAAGTACAGACACCAGACTTTATCATAACAGTAATGAACTAAAACCAGTCACACTCACAGGTTTATATGGTGTTGCATTATTCAGCATCGTAACACGAACGTCTTCGCTTCAATGTGCCCACGCAGGCCTCAGGACGCCATCAGCTGCTCTCTCTGGGCTTCATTCAGTCCCGTTTCTGGACCCGGCTCGTATTTATCTGGTGGCAGCTGTGAACTTATATGTGTCTAATCCCCTCTAATACGATGTAATGCGTCTCATTTGTGGCAAGACACAGTGATTACATTCCAGAGATCTAATATGTGGCGCTCCATTCCTGAAGGTCTGTCGGATCCTCTTCATTCTCGTCTTCTGACTGATCAGTAAAAAAAACAACAACAACATTTCAATCTCTGGACTCTCAGGAAGCCACGGCCAGAGAGCACTCTGGGGGATCAGGGGGATGAAGCAGACACTAGGAGAACTGAACCTACTGTGTTCTTGTGTATAAACCTTCTAGATCTAAGAGTTTAGAGCTGACATTGTGTTGTTTCCTCCTCCAGGTGAGCATTTCCACCGTGGGCTACGGCGATGTCGTGCCCATCTCCTATCTCGGCCGCTGCGTCGCTTTCGGCTGCATCTCCTTCGGCATCATCCTCAACGGCATGCCCATCTCGATTCTGTTCAACAAGTTCTCCGACTACTACGCCAAACTGAAGGAGCAGGAGTACAACATCTCAAACACCGAGCGCACCTTCCAGCTCAGAAAACGTCTGCGGCGTAAGTTCGACAGCTGCTTCGAGCCCCAGCCGGAGGACTCGGACGACGAGATCCACTACCGGCCGAGCGGGAGGCACTACTACGACATGGACGAATGAGAGGAGCTGCCTAGATGTGACCTCAGTAACCCTAAATGGCCTTATCACCCTCGGGTCTACAGAGAATACGACCCCCCCATCTGCCTGCAGCCCTGAGCCTATGTGATTCACCATAAACAATCTGAAGGGGTAAATGGAGGCAGCAGCAAGTTGAGATAAGCTCTAAGCCTCGGCTTTGCAGTAGGTGCACGCTACGGGTGATGATGATTCCTCTGTCAAACGGACTAGATGCTGATGCTTGTTATCTGTTTCCAAGAATAGCATCTAGATAAAGAATGAAACGTGCTTTCAATGGAAGTGCTATTAATGAACTATTCTGGACATCTTTCACTTCAAATACTCAGAACAACTAATATTATAACTCGTAAAGTTTGGCCGATGCGAGCTCCCGGTCCTGGTGGACTGTAGTCATATTGCAATTATAGGCGAAAGAAATGTATCAGCAACCTGTCATTTACTTGTATGTGCATCTGAGAAAACAAAACAAAGCATCATCAGTGCAAAGCTCTTCCACGTGCCATGCATTGTCTGTCAGCAGAGTGCTGTTCCTGGTGTGTTCTTTCTGGTTTGTCCGGTCACTCAGCATGTTCCTGACCTAAGTAGAGGAAGCATAGGGGTGTGTCACAAGCCATCAAGAGCCATGGTGTAATTTTGTTGTCAAGGATTACCGGGATTTGCGCCTCCTGCCTGGTCAGACAAGGGTAAAAAGTCAATCATGTACTCGGCTATTTCGGTGGCTCTGAGAATCTGATCAGGTGCAGACAATCAGGTTCTATTTAAATTTTTACAAGCGGCTTTAACGGATGCCGGTTTGTCTCTGGCAGACAATAGGGGGAAGGTTTTTCATTCATACTTACGCCTGGTGCTTATTGTTGTCTCAGTATTTATTGAGGATCTCTGCAGGGAGAGGGAACGTTCTTAACCTCCCGATCTAAGGATCAAGCGTGGCCCGGCCCCGACTGTCCTTGCACTGCGCTGCAAGCTCAGTTTAGCTGTCATGAAACCAGTTCTTGTCTGGGCCACTTGTTGTCCAGAGTTGTGTGAAGCAAATTCATGATCCCCTCCCTCCCAAGTGTATCTAACGGGCCTGCTGGCCACCGGTAGGTTTGTTCTACTAGATCTGCTCTTCGGCTGCACTGGCTTTCAATGAAAGAGAAATCAGTTCTGACACCAGGACCGAGCGCCGATGCACGGTACTGATGACGTGTTGTGCCTCCGATCATGAAACACACCCACTGTGTGCAGCACACCTGGACTTCACCCATATGAAACATGACTAGAGACAGCTGTGAAGGTGTTCAGTGTAATCAGGTGAATCATCAGTAAAACGTCACCAATGTTTCTGTTTCTCTGTTGGAATTGTCTGCAAAGTGCAAATATAAGAATACGAATTTCTGTCCAGGAGTGACGACGCGTTCAGTTCATGTTCACATCATTCTTATAGCAGTGACAGGAGTTGTATTAATAACAGTTCCTAAGGTTTGGATTGAGAAGTCACTGGGTGTCATCACTGGTTTCTATCTGTAGGAACATGCAGAGAAAAGGTGAAAAAAAAGACGAGAATTTGAAGTTGGATTTCATCACATTACATTTCATTAAAAAAAAAAATAAAAATCTTGTGCAAATACAATAAAATATCTATACATATATATATACTTGTGCACCATCACAGCAACATTAAACAAACAAATTCAACTACAGCACAGTTTGGAAAACAGAAAACACAGATTTCTTTTATCATATTATACAAAATGTGCACATTTTCCAGGTCCTTCACTAACGAAGCAAAATCAGCATTTCCTGCTCAGTAAAAACGGGTTTCTTCTGCATGCTGTCAAAACTACGAGCACAGCCACCCACATCTCCTTTAAATAGAAAAAGAAGTTAAGAAAGTTAAAGCCTGTATCTATTAGCAGACTGCTGCCTTGTTGGTCTGAGGGACAATGCTGCCGTCTAATAGTCTTACAGGATCAGCTAATGGGAACGATGCCAGTGGTTTCGTCAGCATCAATTAAAACTCAGGAGAGACTTTGGCTGCCTCACTTGACTCAGTCAGGACTGAATGGACAGGAATAGATCAGTCAGGAGGGATATTAGGGAAAGCCTAATACGCCACCCAGACACAGACGCTTACAGACAGCCTGCACATAAAGAACAGCTAATATTTGATGTTTCTTTCACTTTGCAGAGACAGACCTGCAGTATTTATACGACTGTATCAGTAAAATGGTTGTTCTGCAGCCGGACGGCAGGAGAATGAATCTCAGTCAAGTCAGATTAACAGCACTGCATGAAGTTGTGAAGGCGGACATGTTAGCACACAGCCGGCCAACACTCACTCTCCTTCTACCTCTGTTTGGTCAACTTTAATAGAAACATCAGCCTCTTTAGCTGCTGAATGCTACGTTAACCAGATAACAGCCGCTGACAGAGTCTCTCTGCTGGTTGGTCATCTCACCACGAGGCCGACGGGACGCTCAGCCAAAGGGTTAATGTTTCAGGTCAAACCAAAAAACACTCCATAATGTTAAGACAAAGTGCAAAGTCACATGATTAATGTGTGTTCCTTATTCTCCTGCAGTCATCTGAGCCATTGGTCATCAGAAGAATCAGAATCAGGAGCTTTTTGTGGCTCAGTGAGGTGAATGAGATGGTACACAGCAACAACAAGACAGGAGTAAAAACCTAGATCCATCCATCATCTCTACACCTTAACTCTCACTAGGGTGGTGGGGGGCGGAGCCTATCCCAGCTGACTCAGGGTGAAGGCAGGTTCACCTGGACAGGTAACCAGTCTATCACAGGGCTACACTTAGAGACAGACAACCAAGCACACTCACATTCACACCTACGGACAATTTACAATCACCAATTAACCTCAGCATGTTTCTGGACTGTGGGAGGAAGCCGGAGAACCCGGAGACAACCCACGCTGCACGGGGAAAACATGGAGACTCCATGCAGAAAGATCCTGGGTGTCCTCACCGGGACGCCAACCGGCGACCTTCTAGCTGTGAGGCCACGATGCTAACCACCGAGGCACCTGCAGCCTTGATCTAGATCTGAGAAATTCTAAATAAAACATGTAAAAGAAAAGTATAAAAGTACCACGTAAATAATAAGTACTGTGAAAAGAGACATAAACCAAGTAATAAATGAGGAAACAGTTTAAATGACAGTATTGCACATGTAGTGGTGATGCTCAGAGCAACAGGAATCTGTAGAGGTTTACTGAGTTTATATTAAAATTGACAATTAGAGCAGCTTTAAACTTTCTATTTGTATCAATAAAAACCATCAGAGTGGGAAACTGAAGCATGGAACTCCAGAAATGTTGGTTAATGTGGTGGCTGACCATGGCGTGGATCATCAAACATCATTAAAGGAAACACACAACATAACCACAACACTTACAGCTGGCACTTCCCATGATTCCACTGTGAGGAATCAATGTCTCAGACTCTGATTGGTCTGACTTGTGTGGCATCGCTCTGACCTGACTGGTTCTGAAACGTGACCGAACCACGTCAACATCTCCTTCTGCAGCAGCCGGAGAGTGAGTGAAGGTGAAACGGACCAACATGTGTGGCTGCTGTTGTTGCTCTCAGCTGCGTATCAGTGGTCTCGTCATTAGAGGTTAAAATGCTAATCATAGCCAGGAGTGCATTTCAGACAGTAAAGCTCCACCTTTCATATTTTCCCCAGCGCTGGAATTATGAAACGGTCATCTCTGGCGTGATTACGCAACTGCGGCTGGGCCCGAGGTGACGGTGCGTGTGAATGCTTGCGTCAGTATCCTTGACATGTTTCCCAGTCACACTCTCTTCCAATTAGCTGCCATCCTTCAAGATGTGTTCAGATAAGGTGCAAGAGCAGCTCGTACTCAAGGAAAAGAGTTTCATGACGTGAATTATGATATTCTGACAGTTTTCAGACAAACTTACATGTTGTGAGCGAATAAGAACTATATCAGCTCACTAACAAATCCATCAAGCAACAAACGTAGACTCCTGTTGTTTCCCAGTGAAGCGTCTGCACAAACAGTCCACCAGCACTTGTTGCTGCAACACGTTTAAAGCCGAGCTGTAGATCAGCGTCACAATGTACGCTTTCCTTGTTGTTATCTCAATAACAGCCTTGAGTCTTTGCATCGTTGTCATGCAGAGCTCCAGATCAGGACATGCTTTTCCCTCCACCAAGGCTGAGCAGACATCTCGAGGAATCTGTGGCCTCAGCAGGTTTGAAACACACGCTGACTATATAAACCCCTCATGAAGCACCACCCGACCAACTCCATCGCCTCCTGCCTCTGCCGACTGACCGAGGAGTGCTAACGGGTCCAACCATGTCTGCCGCCAAGTGTCTGGTGTCTCTGATGGTGGTGCTGGTGGCCGCGGTCGGTGCACAGGACAGGATTAAGATGTGTGGGCGAGAACTGATACGTCTGGCCGTCTCGTCCTGCGGTAACTCCCGGCTAAGGAGAAGCATCCCGGACATTGACCTCAGCCAACACCAAGACGCTCCTCTCTGTGAGTACTTTGGGTTTAAGCTTGTTCTTCTTTTTCTGATGCACAGACTGATCTGAGAACGACGCAGAACAGACGATGTTCACGGCATGTTTCCAGAGTTCTGTCTAAAGCCCAGATGCGTTGCCTCTGCACAGGGGAGCTGGACGCCTCCATGGAGGAGCAGCAGGCCCCAGAGACAGTCCACGTCTCTCTGCAGCCTGGCGGGGAGAAGAGTGTCGTCTCCTTGGCTCCTCACTGGTACCACGCGTCCTCTCGGCTCAGACGGGCCGCCGGGAAAATATCTGACATTTGCTGTGAGAGAGGATGCAGCATGAAGGAGCTGATACAGTTCTGCTAGATGCTGAGCTTGGATACGGGACGACTCGAGATACTGTCTTTACATTCTGTTCTGCTGCTGCGAGGGACCTTTCCAATGATGCAATAATCATAAGTGCTTGTTCACGTTTAATGAACGGATCTCAGGCATGTAGGCAGGTTCATGGAGGAACTGAACGCAGTGTTTAGTTTGTAGGAATAAATGTTATTTAACTGCTGCATTAGTGAGCAAACCTCCAAGAAAGCAATAAAGCTTCTGATGATTATTGCAACACGTTGTCTTCTTATAGCTGTTATTATTTCCCGATTTCTGATCAATATAATCAATGCAAGGGGAATCCAGTCATATTTTTTTCTTTTTTTAATGTATTTTCTTTGCATTTGCACCCCTATTGGACAGTCAATACTGAAGACGCCGACAGAAAGCAAAGAGAGATATAAAGTCTATAAAGGTCCCAGAATATCAGAACCAAACCGGTGATATTGGTGTTATAGTGTTAACACTCTGCCTCTTCAATGTCCTCTTTAGTCAAACTTTAGGACCCAGTTTTAAAAGCATTTTCTCTGACATCAAGCTCTGGTGGATTGCTGATACGTGCACATGCAACAGTCCAGGCAGCAACTAAACAAGTGCACAAAACAAGTTCAGGATCAAATAAACAGAAAATGCTCAAAATTAGGACCATGAAGAAACACCGGGATAATAAAATCCTGCATCCTAAGTTTGAATCCTTAATTTCTAAGCCTGATGAATTGAAGTACTTGAGTAAATTGGTGGATAATTTGCTAATTTGCTTGTGTCCTTCTGTTCTGTAACTCGGGTCACACAGTAAGTTGTTTCAGGAGATTATTGACCAAAAATGAACAAAAAACAACAACAACAACAAAAAGCTTTTTTATGGTAAATAAACAGATGTCGAGTAATGCAGCTTGAACACATTTGACATGAATATTTCTTTCACAGTTCTGGACTTGGCACCCACATCACAGTTTTATATATTCAGGGGAGACGATATTCACAAATATAATTCCTGTGACTGCAGAAAACACTTTCTCTGTGGCATTAAGTCAGTAAGTAATACAAATATTAACACTTTGCCAGTATTTTCTGTCTTTAATTTAGCTCTCGATCAGATTAGGTAACACTTCGGTGCATCTTCAAGACTCAAGATGAACTTTATTGTCCCAGGAGTGGGACATTTGTGTTGGGCTATTTCACCCACGCTGCAGCCGACACCAGCAGACACAGACATGGGAAACACAGTTAATAGACAGAATAAATACATATATGTATACATCAAGTAAAAGCAGAATAAAATGAATGTCCTAGTCTGATTTCATGAGACATGTCACTTTAAACAACAACAATTAGAGCTATTTTACTCATTAATGAGCCTAATCTTTATAATCTTGTGTAAGGAAACAACCCAGAAACACACCAGCACCTCGTGTCATTTCTAAATCAACACTGTGTTTTGTTGAATGCTAATAAGATAATTAAAGCTGCAAAGAAATGAACCCTGAAACTGCAAACGGCTCTGGGTTGGACATTCAGGTAGACGTGCATGAGATTTACACTGAAGTAAAGCATCGGCGCTGCTCTCCCCGATGACACCGATCCGGACTGAAGCTGCAGGCCCATTCAGCTCCACGATAACAGAAATAATCTGCGTAACTCTGCCAGTTCCTCACACCGAGGAGTGCATAATTCTCTCAACGGATAATCAAATGCGGTGCTGATTATCTGCCACTCTATACTGCAGCCTGCACTAAATGACTCCTAATAGCAAATGAAATCAGCCCACGGTGACTGATTGGTTAATTGGTTTTAATTGGCGAGGGATGGATTGCGTTGTACATGCGATTAGTTTCTGTGTAATTGGTTTTATTTGCTGCATTATCAGACAAAACACACAGAGATGAATGTTACATTTAGATCGACTTGTTGCCAGATAATTCTGTTTGGAGGGCTTTTAACTGCAGACACACAGTGAATGCAGCGCTCTGATAAGGTTCAGAACAATTGGCCAGATCTCGCAAACCGCTTCTGGCCACTGGATCAATTCTACATACGAAACATCATTAAAGATAAACTGATCTCTGAGCTGATGCCCTTGAATTGTGTATTTAAAAAAACAACAGCTATAGAGCAGAAACAGCACATGGGCTCTGTTTATGTGAAGAAATGTGAAATTTTATACAGATTATTGTGAAAATAGTTCAGTTGATACTCTTCCAAGTACAGTAAATCCTTGCTTGTGTATTTTTGGTCAGCAGAAGGTGACAAATTATTGAACATATATGAGGAAAAAGTCTTCACCACCAAAAAGAAGAAGAAGAAAAAAAAACATTTACCCCAATAACCACACCCAATGATTAACATTAGGAGGAATTTCTACAATTCTGCAACCAAAAATGTGAATCTATTCATAATAAAAGAGCGAGCATCCATCCATCCATCATCTCTACACCTTAATCCTCACTAGGGTCATGAGGGGTGGAGCCTATCCCAGCTGACTCAGGGTGAAGGCAGGTTCACCTGGACAGGTAACCAGTCTATCACAGGGCTACACTTAGAGACAGACAACCAAGCACACTCACATTCACACCTACGGACAATTTACAATCACCAATTAACCTCAACATGTTTCTGGACTGTGGGAGGAAGCCAGAGAACCCGGAGAGAACCCACGCTGCACGGGGAGAACATGAAGACTCCACGCAGAAAGATCCCAGGTGTCCTCACCGGGACGCCAACCGGCAACCTTCTAGCTGTGAGGCGACAGTGCTAACCACTGAGACACCTGCAGCCTGTGAGCATGCATGGACCCAATGAATCAGTTCCCTGCAGTGCCTCATTTCAACCAGCAGAGGGTGACAGATACATGATTTTAAACGATGTTCTCCCACTGCCCCCCCATCTGGCATCATGCTCACCTATGAGAGGGGACGCCGGGGGAAGAGCCGGCTAATTCTGCCAATTTAAGGGCGTTGCTTCCGAATTTCAGTGTTACTGCATCGAGCTTGGTCGTTCCAACGGCACCGCGCCTCCTCTCCCGCTGCGATGATCTGCCTCTCCAGGCTCATTATTGTAACATGCCCAATCACCTCAAGTGATCCTTTATCTCCTTGTGACAAGAGGAGAAATGTGATCAGAGGACCCTTGTAGGCCTCAGCCCCGTCCTCATTCAGCGCCAGCACGAGATGACAAGCGGCGGCTGCATGGGGCCTCTCTGGCGGGCTCCTCTTCAGGCTGTTTTGTCAACTGAAAAGCTGCTAAACCAAATACGGAAAATGAAATCAGAGCCCCTATCTCTCTTTCTGCCTTTCTATCTCTTTGTGTCTAGTTTCAGCGAGCAGGAAAAGCAGCAGGGCGGAATATCACCTTCACCGAGTGCCAGCACTACTCACGCACACAAACACACACAAACACACACGAACACACACAAACACACACAAACACACACAAACACACATGAACACGTGCACGCCGGGCGACGTGAGCATGTGTGGACTGGTGGGTGTCAATTTGCATGTAAATGAAATGGCTCTCACTGCTCTTCTTTCCAACAGTAAAAGTGTCAAAGCTGAAGACGCTATATGTGCTGCGTACAGCGTGTGTGTGTGTGTTTGTGTGTTTGCATATGTGCATGTGCTCAGCATAAAGCGTGTGGGCGGACAAGGCCGGGAAACCCATCTAGAGTTGCTATACTTGGCCATGACAGCTTCTTTTGTGGTTTTGCGAGTTATATTTTGAAGCCCGTGAGCTCGTGTGGGTGTGCGAGCGAGGAGCAGGAGTCAGGACGGTGACTGACGGGTCCGTTTCTGTGGGTCCGCTGTTGTTGGCGCTGCAGGCCCGTTTCTGATGTCAAAGAGAGATGTGAGATATAAACGAAGCAACGCTGTGAAATTACACAAAAGAAAAATTGGTTAACTGGTTTGTATATGAGTCGACATACATCTACAACCACAGCGGCACCGGTTCAGCCGGAGGAGGTTCTACAGTGTCAGAACCAGCGCTCAGCTGTTCAGTAGTAGTCAGATTACTTCATCACATTGTGACCTTTTTGCAGCAACTTTTGTTCAAGATTATGGAAGAATATCAGAATCGTCCTACTGCCTTTACACAGGGTGGATGGTGGAGAGAGACTCCAGGATTTAAAACCACGTGTTCACATCATTAGGTAATGCTATATCACATACAGTCATCCTCACATGTGTTCATAGCCTCCAATTAGAGAAGGACAACAGCTGCACTCACTGAAATACGTTGAAACTGACAGAAGAAATAATAAATAAACATTTAATGAACATCATGCCGTTGGTTTTGAATTGTGGTTCAACAGAAATATTATAAAAACAAAACAACAAAACAACAACCAGCCTGATGGACCCGTGAACTACTATCTAGCTGAACAACCCTCTGAGCCAATCACTGCCATCAGGTGTTTCCTGTAACTCTCAGTCAGACTTGTGCACCTGTTGACAGGTATTCTGGACCACTGCTCATCAGCAAAGGCCTCTCATCGGTCCAGGACAGGTTTTTTTTATTTTTATTTAAAAACCAAAACGGGACAGACTTCCGCCCTCCTCTGGTTGATGTTAAAATCCAGAAACAGCTTCCAACCGTCTGATTTGTTTTGGCTGCTTCGGTTCATGACTTTAGATCCACATCAGAAAAAGTCTGGCACTCTGACCCCGCCCATCACCTCGGTCCAGCGGCTCTAACTCCGCCCATCCCGTCGGGCCAGCCCTTCCTGGAATATCTCGGATCTAACCACCTTAATCCTAATGCCCCCTCGCCACATGAACACTACTGACTCTCAATTCAAGCCCTGAAATCCAACTTCTGTTGACTTCTGCTACCTGTCGTCCAGCTTCCGGGTTCCGGTCCGCTGACTCCGCCCATCCACTGCCGAGCCGACTGGTCCCTCCAGCTGCAGCCACGTGTCCTCACCTCTGGAGCGACATACTGGCAGGTAATTCTGTTGATTTCACCTGAGTCAGGCTAAAGGTTGGAGT